GGCTTCCCTCCCTCCCATCTATCCTCTGGAACAGCTGCCAAAGAGAACTCCCTAAAGTGACATGTGCCCATGTCACTCCTCAAGAAACTACAGTGTCCTTTCTGATCCCTTATAAACTCTTCCTTGTGGCTTTGAGGGCTCTTCACAGCCTTACCTAACCAACCCTTCTCCCAGCCTCATTGTGCATCATTCCCCTTCCATCATGCTACCCTGCTTCATGATGGGCATCCTTACTGTTCCTTTCCCATGGCAAGCCATGTCTTGTCTCTGTTTCTTTAGATTGTTGGCCCCTTGCATCTGGAATATTCCTCCTTACCTCCACCTCTTGGAAACCCAAGTTTCCTTCAAAATTCCCACAGAGGCCTGTATAAGAAGCGTTTCGTGATCCTGCCCTGGACTCTAGTTGCTAATGCTGTGATCCCCACCTGTGATCCCCATTCTCTTCTATCTACTTTGTATCCTGTGGAGACAAATGTACATGTGTAGGACATCTATGAGTATGTATGTACGTACAATCTTCTCTCCCCCACTAGAATGGAATCTCCAGGATAGGCAGTGTTAAGACTTGCTTCTAGCATTGTGCCTAGCACACAGCAGGTGCTAAATACATACTTGTTGCTTGATTGTCATTCGATTATATTGTTGGTCTTGAAGATTCCCATTTGGACAAGTTCATTTTCAGCGTTTGCCCTGTTGTAGAGTTATAGGCGCCCTGTCTTCATTCGATGGTGCCCTAACTCCAGAACCTCGCATTGGACATATGGTCGTGAGAGTCCAGTGGGGGTCCCAGTGCTCACCCTGTCTGAGCCATCAGCTTGTCGTAGGGCTTTCTGTGGATTCATGCTCTCGGGGATGTCAGGTCTCCCTCCCGTGGCACTGAGCACAGCCACCTGGTGGGTGTCTCATTCATGTCCTTGCTCCCATCAGTCTTTTGGAAAAGAACTGTTGAGCTGGTTTGAAGTTGCCCTAGTATTTCAGAGCTATGTAAAATGTCTTGTTACAAATGTCTTGCCATATTGTGGTACCGCAATGGAAGTGAATGTTACTCTTCTTTATTGTTGTTGTTGAGTCATTTTCCATAGTGTTTGAGGCCAGTTTTGAACTGGGCAAATATGATTCTCTCTGACTGGAGGCCAGGTACTCTGTGCATTATGGCGCCCCCTGGCAGCCCTTAGTATTCTTTGAAAAATGACAGGAAGAATGGGAGGAGTGTGAGAAGACTTGTAGGAGTCACAGACTGACATAAGCAGAACCTTGTCTGCCATGGGAGGAATGCAAGTGAGCTCCGTGGGATGCACATGGGAGAAGAGGTAGAAAATGTGCCATGTGCTTTTCCCAACCAGGGACCCTTTTGTTGTCTTATCTTTCTAAGAAGCAGTGGTCTACTTGGTGGGCACACATCCTAGAACCACTTTGTGGATTCTTTTATGCTGTGCCTCTTGTTTCCCTCTCATCCCCTGTGCCTGCTAGAGCAGAGCACATTTGTAGCCGCACAGAGACCCCGTTTTGTATGTCTCATTCCACACCCCCAACCCCTAGTCTCTTCCAGGAGGGCGAGAAATGTTTCACCAACAGTACTTGAGAGCATGGATTGGTCTCTCCTTTGGTCTTTGTTCCTGTCATGTTTGACATTGTTTTCTTTTTGTTTACTCTTCTCTTGGTTCTGCTTTCTTTGTTATGTATCTTTCTGTTAGAATCTCCTTAGATTTCTTCAAATGTCTTTATAGTCCTCATATTTGGGGAATACTGTAGTCTAGTAGATTTATAGATTACAGCTTGTTCAGCCATTCCCCAATCAATGGGCATTCCTTTGGTTTCCGGTTTGTTTTTTTTTTTTTGCTTTAGCTGAAAAGTACTGCTGTTTATTAGAATTAAAATGCTTTAGTTTGACTTTGACCTCCTTGGGATCAAAGTGGTATCTCAACATCAAAGGGCAAATATATGAACAGCATTTTCCAATTGCTTTTTCGAATGAAGGGACCAGGTCCTGGTTCTAGCCACAGCATGTGTGTGTGCTGCTCTCTTCCTGTGGCCCCTCTGAAGAGGATTGTTTCTGCCATCTCTCTTATTTGGGGCCAAGGATAGTTTGCACACCACAGCAGGACTGTGTACCAGCTGGGTGAGCATGGCCTGGGATTATGTCCAGGCAGCCAGAGCCTTTCGGCAAGAGGTGAAGCTTCCGGGTCATTTGAATTGGAATTTCTCTCCTTAGTGCCCTTTGTCTCTTGGTGGGGGGGGGCGTGGGGGGAGGGCAGTGAGTTTGTTTGTGTCCATTCGTACTGGCTCTTCTCTCTTCTGCTCTCCATCTCTTGGATGGTAGGCCAGTTGTTCTTGTCACTTTGATCACGAGGGAATCAAGAGAATGGAGTGGGTACAGAAGAAGAGAAGAAGATGCAGCTGCTCCCATTGGGACTAGGAGACACCCTGAGAGGAAGCCATCTCCCCTCTCAGAGCCTCAGTTTCCTCTTGTTTTAAATGGAACAGATGGTGCTTGCACTGTTTCACTCATAAGCTTGTAGGGGAAATGGAAAAGAAGGCAAAAGAGTCTTTCTGTGCTAGGCTCAGGGGAGCTTTCCTTGGTAATTATTCCACAGGTTGAAGGGGTGGGAGAATGAGAGTGGATGTTTTAACGTGGCACCCCAAAATGTCACCTCTTTGAGGCAGCACCATGGGCTCCAGACCCAACAGGACATTGTATTGCAGCAGAATGGGTCTGGGAAGCCATCACTAACCCTTCAAAGGAGACATTTTCAAAATGATTGGTGGGTTCTTGGGTGTCTCCTCACAGCCAGTGAAATGACTTCCCAAGGTGCAGCTGTCCAGCCCTTCTAAATCCAGATGCTGTGGCTCCTCCTAAGGCAGGCCAGGCTCGGCTGTCCAGAGAATGGTCCTCCCTGACTGTGTAGTGCCCAGGTACAGGGCCTCAAGGCAGCTCCTATTCGCCAGGGAGTGAGAAGTCTGGAAGGCCACGAGCTTTTTGTCATTGGCAGTGTAGTCAGGGCCAGCCAGAGCGTGTGTTCTAGGGTCTTGAGCCCCCTGGAAGCCTGGCTGGGTTGTGGGGCTCATTCTGGACAATCTCAGGAAGGAATAAGGAAATCCTGCCTTTCTAGCAGCATGTGGTGACAGATGCCATCATCCTTCAAGGCTCTGGCTTGGCTGCCTGGCTTGGCAGAACCTCGTGTCCTTGGTATGTTCCAGCAGACTGTACCTAGCAACCTTGAGGGTTCCAGTAACAGAAGGTCAGGTGCCACAGGAGTGGCCACATTCCCCTGGTAATGGCTTCCCTAGGATGCATGATGCTAGGTTGGTTTGTTTGTTTTCTTGTGATAGTATTCTTTCTCACAGTCTTGACTGTAGTGGTTCAGGGCTAGCTGCATGATCTGGTGTACTTCTGAGAAGACAGATATGCACTTGTGGGCCAGGCCTCCTGCAGGACGGGCCCAGCCCAGGTAGGTGACAGGCAGGGGTGCTGCCTCCTTGGGCAGTGCTTCTCCCTCTCTCCTGGCAGGCTCCTCTCAGGGCAACCCTGTGAGCTCAGCTAGGAGGACAGGCAGTGAGGCAGGCCTCCCCTCCTCTGTCACCCCAGTGGTCACTCCGGCCTTGAGAAGGATCAGCCTCCAGCTGGCAGCAGCTTTGCTGCAGACTTGTCCTGCTCTTCTGCCACATGAGTCAGGATTCTGTGCTGCAGGTCTCCAAGCTGGGCCTGCACCTCCTCTAGCTGTAGGAGCCCAGCCTGAGCACTTTTGTCACCAAGAAGCAATTGCTGGATCCAGGCAGGGGCCTTCGACTCCACGTAGAAGCCACCAGAGGAAAGAGCTCAGCAAACACCCGAGAAACAGCAGGGATGAGGAAGGAAGAGGGCCCGGACAGGAGGCCTGGGCTGTCTAAAGACACTCTGAGGGCCAGCACATGCCTGCCTGATGCCAGGGAAGGGATAGTTGTGAACCAAGTGACTGGCATTTCTCCCCTGCTTTTGAGGTCTGCAAGAAGGATCTCATGGGATCCTCTGGGACCTCATATTATGCCATTTGATAGACGGGACCGAGCCTTGTGATTAGCTAGTCTTTGCTTCGATCAGAGAAATGCTGCAGAGTGGGCTTTGCAAAGCCTCAGACTGAGTGACAGATGACAGGTGGATTTGGAAACAGTTAAGGGGTCAAGTGAAATTAGCAGGGAAAGGAAGAGAGCATTTTCCCTAACCTCCACCTCTCAGCCCAAAGCACTGCATTGACCCCTAATTCCTTCAGAGTTGACATCAGATGGAGTGTCTGAAAGGCCTGAAGCAATCTTTTCATGTGGGTTGGCAGTTTTGAGAGATTTTGACGGAAAACCTTTGTAGAGTGCTGGGGGGCCCTTGGGGCACCGAACTCCTCTTTGTGCCCCCTCTAGATAGGGTGAAAGAAAAAGCAGAGCCTCCTGAAGGCCTCTTTGCATTTCTCTTTTGCTATCCATGGAATTCCTTCTGCCTGAGTGCCTCTGTCCTATAGACATCTCTGGGGACCATGTGGTCACCCCAAGGCTGGCCACAGGGCTGCTCTGAAGGAAGACTATTTGGAACAGCCTAAGGAACAGGCTGTGCTGAGGGGATGCTCTGACAGTGAAATTCCAGCCTTGTGATGGGGAATTCCCATTGGGAAGTCACTTTGTGTCTTCTCACAATTCCCCACCAGCCTGCTGTTCTCTGGGAATCAAGAAGCTGATACAGCAGAGGCTCTTACCATTCTGGCTTTGCTAGTGGCTGCCTGTGCCCTAGGGCAAATGCCCCAGCACTTTGAGCCTCTTCTGGCCTCCTCTCTCAGCTCTGTTTCTCCAAGCCCACACCTGAGCTTGGCTCCCTCTACTGCTCAGGGCATTCCCCTCCAGTGCTCACTTAGCAGAAGGGCAGCTGCCCTTTGAACAGAGGGTTTCCACCACAATGCTGGCTCTTTTTTCCCTATTACTCAGGCATGTGATTTCAAGAACAACCTCCCTGTGTGGGGTAGCTAAGAAGCAACCACGGATCCAAGAGAATATTTATTATTGCATAAGCCCAAATAAGAATATGTCTATAACTAAATAAAACTAGAAAATTAAACAAGAGAAATAAAACTAGGGAATGAAATAAGCATATGTCTATAACTAAATAAAACTAGAGAATTCAACAGTCTTTGTGATGAGGAAGAGGTAAGCTATCTGTAAGTTCCTATGTGGGGCTGCTCATATCCTAACTTCCTGGGGTGGTGACAAAAGCTGAGCGAGCAGACTGGGCATGAGGGGCAGCTTCACACCTACTGCTGCTGCCCCTGAAGAGTGGAAAATGCAGAAGAGTGGGCTGCCCCTGGTAGCTTCTGGAATCAGTGGCTAGCCCTGTGATGTGAACCGCTGCCTTCCCTCCTGATGGTAAGAGGCAGAAAGCACAGCAATACTACGGTGGACATCCATGTTTCATGGTCAGCCCCCCACCCCCAAGCTGGGGCTGCAGTGACTATCACTCTGGGGACCTGGGGAGGCACCCAGGAATGAAGCCCATAGCTTTTCTGTCTGATGAAAAGGAACCATGAAATAAATCTGTATAGAAATACAAACATCTCTCTATATTTAATACAATTGGCCAGGAAGCCGAAAACATTTCCCCTCCCTCCCTCCCCCATCCCAGACTTAGCTTCAACAAGCCCCTCCCCCAACCCTATCCCATTCAACCTCCCCATATGCTAATGTGGCTGAAAAAGAACTAGAATCCGAGCTGAGGGTAAAAGACTGATGAGCCTCCAATGCCCTGTTTCCCTGCAGAGGCACCTGAGGCATGTCATGTTTGCCTCAAGGATAGAGGACAGCATCAGCTCAATGCCAGCCCTAGACAGGGATAGGGAAAGGCCAATCCAACAGTATCCTGGCCAGTCTCTTTCCTCCCATAGCCACAACCACAGGAGCTGATGGTCCCAAAGGAGAGAGCACAGTGACTGAGCTCCAGGTGAGGAGGTGGATAAAAGCATGGCTAGAGTGGAGAATGAGGGTCTCTGGGCTCTCGAGGGGCAGGCAGGAGACATCTCGTACCAGCGGCATAGGGGAAGTTCTTCTCCCCATGGCTGGTAGCTGTACTCTGGACCCAGCTTCCTTTCAGCAGTAGCTAATTCATGATGACTTGTGTATGTAATGCTACTGCCTTTGCCACACACCTGCAACCTTCCAGTCCTCTCTAAAGGAAGCCCCAGTGGGTAGGAGGGGCCACCAAGCCATGGGTACATCCCCAGCTGCCGTACTAAATGCCAGTGCAGGTAATCCTGGGGGCAGAACTTCCCTGACATCCAGGCCATTGGCCTTGTTAGAATCAAAAGCACAGACAGGTGCGGTCATTCCCAGGTACTTCTTCGGATTTCAAAGACTGCACCCATCATTGCCAGTGGTAAAGAGAACCATGCAAGGTCCCATGGAGAGCGGCATTAGCCACCTGCTGGAGTGTGCCCATGTGGGACTGGCTCCCAGTCTGCCCTTTGCCGCTGCCCAGTTTATCATGCCCTTACTGCACCAAATTCCTTGCCCTAGACCCAGGGTGGTGTAAGCTGTGTTTCTGTGGGACTGCTGCTGAGCATAGCAAGGCCCTGACTACTCCCTACCACCCCCCCAACATCTACTACAGAGCTCTTTCTACACGTCTTGGAGGTAGGCAGGGCTTGGCAGGGAGCTGAGGCACCTGACACTGCAGATGCTGTGGATTGAAACAGAACTTGCTCAGCTGGTGGTCTCCTCCATATCATAGAGGGCTTGGTGGGGCAAGATGGCTCCAGGGAGGTGGGCTCCCACGTTCTGTCTCTTTCCCAGAAGTCACAGTGGCCAGAAGGGACGAGGAGGTGGGAGAACTGCTTGCTTGTGGCTGACAGAGGAAAGGGTGAAGGGACCCGGCAGGGAGGTTCTAATTGGCAGGCTTGCCATGGACCCGGAAGCGGTAAATGCAAGTATAGTCCGGGTGACCCCAGTTGCTCAAAACTTGAAGCTGTACCAGCTGGTATGGGGCTGTGCCGTTGCCCTGTGGGAAGAGGAGAGTGGGGTGAGGGAGACCCGAGATGCCTTCATGGATGCCCAGCCCCCACAGGCTTTCTGCCCCAGGCTTCCTTCCAAGAGCAGTGGCTGAATTGAGCCCTAAGCTTATCCCTCAGCTTCTTCTCAGACCTGTTGGGACCTGGCTTCCACTGCAGCCACTTGCCGAGCCACAGCGTCCTCATGGCTGGTGATCCAGCCCTTGAGGTCAGCAGCATGCCTGGGTCACTGGGTGAGTGATGTGGGACGAGCCCTCCATACCTGAAAGTGGAAGGTCTGAATGGCCTCCCCAGCATTATCATAGGTGAACTTCGCCAGGGCCACCCCTTCCACCTGGGAATCTTCATTGAGCCCCTGCACAGAAGGAAAAACAAGGGGAATGGAAGGATGGACAAATGGATGGCCGCAGTGGGGTGCAGGAAAGAGGTGCTATTAGGACGAGAATCCAAATCAGCCCATGGAGGGAAAAACGCGGGAGGTGGCAGGGAGAGGAGGCGGCAGACAAGGAGGGGTATGTTGGGGAGGGGAAAGAGAAGCAAAGACAATCCACCCTGACGTTGCCTTTCTCGATCCCCTCATCTTCTAGCATCTCTCTCACTAATTCAATAGACAGAGCCTTTCTGCTCCAAGCCCTTTGGCCTTCTTCTCAGCCTCTTCCCCAAAGCTGCTGAAGGGCTTGGGAGAAACCCCTTCAGCTTGTGTGCCTCACTTTCTTCATCTGTATCAGGATTTGGGGCCTGAAGTATCCCTGTCCCTCTGCATATTTCACCTTCTCTTCTGGCTCCATCTTTTCTCCCAAATCCTCCTTATGTGGATGTTCCATGTCTGCCCTGTCTAGGTGACTCTGTAGGGAATGGCGATCCCCGTCCCTGCCCAAGTCGCCCAGGGGACACCTGCTCATGGAGGCCCACTGGCTACAATAAAGGACCCTAAGGCACATTGCAATCTTCGCTGTTGTTGCTGCTGTGGTTGTCTTTTCCTGGCTCCTCCCTAAGAAGAGGAGGAGGAGCAACAGGCCTGGCCCCGAGGAGTGAAGAGGCCAGCCTTAAATGTCACCTCTGTACAATGGGCACATCCTTCCATTTTTCACCTCGAAATGCTGCTGCTGTGAAGAAAGGGCTTTCCATACTTCGCGAAAGGAGAGCTGCCAGGCTCAGGTACTCACCAAGATGACGAAGTCCTTGGGGGCGCTGGTGATGTTGCTGACTGGGGACAGGGCTCTGGGCACGTGCTCCAAAGTGACGGCAGTGAGGTGGATGCGGGCAGACAAGCGAACCCCAACAAAGCCCTGGGGGCCCCGGAATGCCCAGCAGTTGCCGGGGTAGACATTTGGCTGTGGGTGGAAGACAAATCATGTGAAAGGTGGCGGCGCATGGGCCAGATGCAGATCCTGGGGCCCCTGTGCTTTGAGGGCCCAGCCCCCACAGAGGAGGGGGGAGATGGCAGGCAGAGAGCCAAGCTGGGGAACCTTTCTTCAGCCCTACCTGGATGATGGCTCTTTGGGTCTGGAAATGATACCACAAGGGGATACCAAACAGACTGATTACGGCCGTCCTGGTGCCATAGGTCTCTGAGCTGTGGCTACTGAGGATGCTGGCCCCTGAAAGAGCAACAGAGAGAAAAGGTGGAGGGGGCAACCCAAGGGCTGGCAGGACAGAGAGATGGCTTAGGGTAACCCTCAAGGAGAGAGGGCACTACGGGGGCATCTTCCCTCCTAAATGCCCCAGCCCAGGAAGGGCATCCCCAGTTGTCATTTCTTCCTGTCTCATACTGGCTATCCTGATTTTGCATTCCCTCTTGTCCCAAAGCCCTCTGGTTTTCTGTAGGTCACCTACCTGAGGACTCCAAGGCATAATCCACCAGCCCAATGCGATCTTCACTATACAGTTTCAGGGCCTGCCGCACGATCTCACGCACTTCCTAAAAGACAGGCATGCACCCCTTGTGGGCTGGGCCACCTGCAGGCTCCGCCCAGCCCCTGTAGGGGATGGGCAAGCATGCTACCTGCTCAGCCTGGGCTTCCCCCTTCCTCTTGGCAGGCTCCTCTCAGGGCAAACCACGACCCTAAGCAGGAGACAGGCAGAGGGGCCAGGCTCACCTCCTCTGTCACCCCCGTGGTCACTCCTTCTTCCAGAAGGGTCAGCCTCAAGTCAGCAGCAACTTTGCTGGCAGTCTTGTCCTGCTCCTCTGCCATATGCCTGAGGAGTCTTTGCTCCAGGTCCCAAAGCTGAGCCTGCACCTCCTCTAGCTGTGTAAGTCCGGCCTTAGTGCCCTTGTCTCCAACAAAGTATTCCTGGATTAAAGCTGGGACGTGAGACTCCATCTAGAAGCCACCAGAGGAAACAGCTCAGCAGGCACCCGAGAAACAGCAGGGGTGAGGAAGGAAGAGGGCCTGGACAGGGCCTGGCATGTCTAGAGACATCTGAGAGGTCAGGGCCAGCACATGCCTGCCTGGTGCCAGAGAAGGGATGGTGGTGAACCAAAGGACTGGCATTTCTCCACTGCCTTTCAGGTTTGCAGAAAAGATCTCATTGGGACCTGATATTATCCCACTTGACAGATGAGGAAAATCTCGTCCATGTCACAATGTCCCCCCAAGAGGCTCAATCTTTAGCAAGTGCCCTGTGGAAACCTCAGATGGTTGCAGCTCCCTGGGCAGCTATCCGGGCAGCAGCAGCCCACCTGAGATCAAGGGGCATGCATTGCTTAACCAGGGGACTGGAGGACTCACATCACTGCGCAGGGCCACCATCTTTTCTCGCCAAAGGTGGATTTCTTGGGCCATTGCAGCCTGTCTCTGGCTGATGGCCGCCAGCTCCTGCCTCAGGCCAGCCAGCTGGGCCTCCAGGGAAGCCATCTCCTTTGGCCTTTTGTCCTGGGAGTCTTCCTGGGACAAACTAGCCAGTGACAAAAGGAAAACTCAGGATCAACCTTGGCATAGGCACTTGGAGGATGGACTCCAACAGAACAAGTGTCACCTGAAGAAAAGCACCACCCAATGGAAAGCACAGAGCCACAGAACTGGCTGCAAGGCTTCACTGACATCTGCTCCCTGGGGGACCCTGGCTAGGTCATTTCCCTCTGGGGCCACAGTAACCTCATCTGCACTCTGAGGTCCCTCCTAGATGGGATCAAGCCTATGGACATGCTAACCCAAGTGTTCTGGCTCCACTGACCTGCCCTCCTCAACCCCCCAGGCAACTGGTTTCCCTGGTGTAGCTTTCTTGCCCTCCTGCCCTCCTCTTCTCTTTCTCAGTCAGTTTGGGGCCTTACCCTTGCCACTCAGACATGTGCTGCAGCACCCCGCTTTCCAGCTCCTGTAAGGAAAAAGAAGACATGATGAAACTGATGAAAACATCAGCGCTGCACTCTGGGGCTTCGTGGCCTCCTACGGCTGGGCCCTGTCTCTGCTGAGGAGCAAATGAGTCGCTACAAACTGCTGGGCTCCAGAAATCTTGACCTTAAGTCCCAGCTAGACTTTTCAGAGCCTGGGCTCCCCTTCTACCCTCCCACCAAGAATAGGCCTCCAAGGTCAGCTGGGATGAGGCACAAACCACTGTCCCCAGAGTGGTGAGGTCACTTGTTAGTCCCCTGAGGAAAGTTTCCAACTCAGCTCTTAAGTCATATGGACAGTCTTATTCCTCCCTCATCTTTTCATGTATTACTAACAGAGCCCAACAGGAAGAGACAGAAAGTGAAATTCCATTTCAAATGACTGTAGACACCAGAAAATATTTCAGAGTCTACCTGCCAAAACAAAACCAGCAACTCTATGAGCCTAATTACAAAACACTTTTCAGACAAATAAAGTCAAGTGTAAACAATCAGAAAAGTAGGAGTTGGTCATGGTTAAGCCGAGCTCAGCTGGTAAAAAAAGACAATTCTACCTAAATTAATGGACTTCTTCAGTGTGATATCAAACAAACTACCAACAATTATTTTATAGAGCTGGAAAAAACAAACACAAAATTCATCTGGAAGAAGACAAGGTACTGAGTAGCGAGGGAACTAATGAAAAGAAATGCAAGGGAAGGTGGCCCAGCTCTACCAGCTCTTCAATTGTATCATCAAGCAGCAAGCATCAAAACTACTTGGTACTGGCTAAGAAACAGAGTGGCGGATCAGTGGAATAGTTTAGGTAGGCAAGACACAATGGTCAATTGACTATACTAATCGACTCTTTGAGAAATCCAAAGACTCCAGCTTTTGGGATAAGAAATCCCTATTTACCAAAACCTGCTGGGAAAACTGGAAAAGAGTAGGGCAGAAACTGGGCTGAGACCACCCTTTTACATTTTACATCCTATACCAAGATAAAGTCCAAATGGGGGCAGAATTTAAATATAAAAAATGAGACCATAAGCAAACAAAGAGAGTAAGGAATAGTTGACCTTTCAGATCTATGGAGAAGGGAAGAATTTATGACCCAAGAAGAGATAGAGAACATTGTATGTAATGCCAAATGGATAATTTTGCTTACATTGAATGGACAAGTTTTTTGCAGAAACAAAGCCAATGCATCCAAGATGAGGAGGGAAACAGAAAACCAGGAAAGAAGTTTTACAACAAGGGTCTCTGATAAAGGCCTCATTTCTAAAATATGTAGAGACTGGGGTCAAAATGATAAGAATAGAAGTCATTCCGCAATTGATAAATGGGCAAAGGATATGAACAGGCAGTAATCAGAGGAAGAAATTCAAGCTATCTAGAGCCATGTGAAAAAATGTTCTAAATCTCTTCTGATTAGAAACATGCAAGTCAACAGGACTCTGAGGTATCACATCACACTTATCACATTGGCTAATGTGACAAAACAGGATGATGGTCAATGTTGGAGAAAATGTGGGAAAATTGGAACACTAATGCATTGTCAGTAGAGTTGTGACCTGATCCAGCCCTTCTGGAGAGCAATTTGGAAGTATGTGCAAAGGGCTCAGAACTTGTGCCTACCTTTTGACCCAGTGATAGCACTTCTAGTTCTGTTTCCCAAAGAGGTCATAAAAAATGGGAAAGAGACCCACATGTAGAAAACTATTAGTCTCTCCTCCTGTAGTGGAGGACAATTGGAAATTGAGGGGATGTCCATCAATTGGGGAATGGCTGAACAAGTTGTGGTATGTGAATGTGGTGGAATCCTATTGTGCTGTAAGAAATGATGAGCTGGTGGACTTCAGAAAAACCTAGAAAGATTGATATGAACTGATGCTGAGGGAAATGAGCAGACCCAGGAAACTACTGTACACATTGACAGCCACACTGTGTGATGACTGACTTTGATAGACTTGGCTCTTCTCAGCAATGCAAGGATGTAAAAAGACAACTCCAAAAGACTCGTGATGGAACAGGCTATCCACATGCAGAGAAAGAACAATGGAGCCTGAATGCAGATGGAAGCATACTATTTGATCTCCTTTTCCTTTGTGGTTTTGTTTTATTGCTTCATTCTCATGGTTCCTCGCATTAGTTCTACTTCTACTTTACATCATGACTAATGGGAATATATACTTAACCTGAATGTAGAAGGAGAGCCTATATCAGGTTGCACGCTATCTTGGGAGGAGGGGAGATGGAGGGGGCGACAATTTAAAACTCAAAGTCTTATGGAAGTGAATCTTAAAAACTATCACTTAATTAATTGCGTATTTGTAAAGAAGAAGAAGAAGGAGGAGAAGGAGGAGGAGGAGGAGGAGGAGGAGGAGGAGGAGGAGGAGGAGGAAAAGGAGGAGAAGGAGAAATAATGCTTGGAAGTGTGACCAAAATCAAATTTTGTGCGGCTTATACAAAAACATAAACCCAGGAAAGCTGACGTCAATTCTACTGGAAAGGAAAAGAAAATCAGAGAAAATGACCTGCTGGCTTTCCCCCCCTCAGGTGTCTGTGGTGCTTTCTCCAGTAGACAGTCAAAGGATATGAACAGGCATTTTTCCAAAGAAGAAATGCAAGGGATCAATGATCAAATGAAACAAATGCTCCGAATCACGGAGAAGTAGAGAAATGCCCATGAAGGCAAGTCTAAGGTTCTACCCCCTACCTGTCAGGTTGGCAAAGAGGACAATCAGGCAAAATGCCCTAAGTTGAGCAGGCTGGGCGAAGTCAGGCACATTAGTGTTGGACTAGGGACGCTAGGGGGCGCGAGAGTGCGTAGAACTCTAGGCTTGGTCTCAGATAGTTAGTTGCTGTGTGATCCTGGGTAAGATAATTCGCCCTGTTTGCCCCCATTTCCTCACTTTAAAAATCATCTGGAGACGGAAATGGCAAACCACTCCAGGATCTTTGCCAAGAAAATTCCCAAATGGGGCGGCGAAGAGTGCACCTCACCAGACACGACTCAACAGTGCTCTAAGTAGAAACTGGAAACTAGTCCAGCCATTCTGGAAAGCAGTTAGGAGCCTTGCCCCCCGAGATAATAAAACATGTCTACCCACTCACCTGGCAAGACAACTCCTGGGCCTATTCCCCAAAGAGATCAAACAAAGAGGAAAAAGTCCGATCTGGACAGGAATATTGATGGCCAATTTTTCTTGCTGTGACAAAAAACTGGAAACCCCGCACTTGGCAAGAGCTGAACAAATGATGGAGTTGGAAAAAAAGAAATTATGGAGTAGGGACTGAATCTACCATACTCTTAGAGATGATGAAAGGGGTGGTGTTCAGAGAAAGCTGGGAAGACTTGCATGAACTGATGTGCAGAAGAGTGAGCAGAAGCACAAAGACAAACCACTGTGAAAGAGTGCAGAACTCTGTTGAAGGCAGTGACCAGCTACTCTTCTGGCAAATGATGCAACTTCTGACAGAGAGGGGATGGACCAAGGCAGAAGGAGAAATACATCTTTTAGACATGGCCCAGGAGGAACTGTTTTGCTTGTCTCTGTATGTTTGTAAGAAGTGGTTTGTTTTTCCGTTTTTCAAATGGATAGGAGGCGAGAAGAAAAGAAAATAGATTCTTGTTCATTAAAAGAATGAAAACAGAAGCATCTTTCTCTAGCTAATGTGACTTCTCCCTCTTCTGATGCCCGCAGAGCTGACCCTGGGGTCCCAAAGACAGTGGCAGCAGAGGACACCAGCTGGCAGATCCTGCCAAACCAGGGTTGCCTTCAAGGAGGGCATAGCAATAGGCTTTATGGCTGCCCTACAAGAAACAGCAGAGCCAACACCCTCTAATGCTTCACTCCCATTTGTCCTGTCAGGTCTCCTTGGCACCTAGATGTCTCCTCATGAGGAGACTGCCAGCTCCTCATGGGCAAGGACTGTGGGGTTGTTTGGTTGGTTTTTGCCTTGGGACAGTGCCTGACCCACAGTAGGTCATGCTTCATAAGTGCTGCTTGGCTGAGTAACCCTAGCTTAAGAGACAGGAACTGGATGGTGCATGAGTCGTCTGTGTGTCCTGTGCAAAGCTTTCCTGGCACTCAGTGGGGTGCTCACCTGGAAATCTGGTGTGAATTCTCCTGATTCGCACACGTCCTGTCTCCTGCTGCTACCCTTTGCTGCCAACCAGGAGAGCATAGCAGGGTGGAAGGTCCGGAGTCCAGAGGGGTAGAAATACCAAGCACCTAGCACATGGGAGGAAAGGCTAATCTGAGACTGAGTCTCAAGAGCCAGAACGGAACTCCATGCGGACTGACACTGGCAGTGTCACATCAAAGGGGGCATAGACCGCAGCCCAAAGGAGGCAGATGCATGAGGGGCATCATGATCTGGAAGGCTACAGCTAGAGCCCCTTCTACCCCAAGAGTTCACTCTCTCATGATCCTCTCAGAAGTCATTAGACACATTTGGATGATGGCAAAAATGAGGGATAAGAATAAGCTGGGGAGAGGACATGAAGCCTGAAGCCAGAAGTCATGCCTCCTGGTCCCAAGCCTGGTCAACACAGAGCTCCGTCCCTTCTGAATGACGAGCAGGATGCTCTACAGACAGGTTGCCTGCAGACAGACCTTGGTGACCTTCAGCTTGTGGTGTCATCATTTCTGAGGTGGACTTTATCTCACAGTATGGGCTGAGGAATGGCGTGGCTCCTGACCAAGAGTCCAGGCCTTCTGGGATCATCCCGGGAGGACCACCCTGTGTGTTCTCACCAAAGAAAAGGGACGAAGCCCTCCAGACCTGGCATTGGGTATGTCCTGCCCTCATAACCGATTCCTTCCTAAGTCAGCTCCTCTACCAATCACCCACCCTCCAGTACCTTGTCTGTGACCACGGAGGGCACAGATAAAACACCTCCTTGCTCCAAGTGCGGGTCATGCTCAAAGTGGGCAGGACAACCACCCATACCCTGCAGCCTGAGGCTCTGAGGCCTGCATACAGAAAATGCACAATCAAAGTGTGTTGGGCTGAATGGAGAGGAGAATGAGAGACAAGGCATAATTCTCACCCTTTAGGCACGAGAACGTGTCCGTCCGTGACCTGGTTGCCTTTTGTTGGTGATTTTGTCCCTTTGGCTCCCTAAAGGCTCCCCTTCAAAGCTCTGTCTTCCAAACTGTCCTCTAGCTGCCGTGTCCCCAAGCCCTTGTCTGTTCCCCCTACCCCAACTGCCCACCCCAGCTGCCCTGGGGACTCAACAATGCTCACCATAATCCAGCAAAGCCACAAGAAACAGCATGCCCAAGACAGAGAGGAGCAACTTCTTCCCAGTGGAAAAGCTCCTGGATTTCATGGAGATGAAGGAGGAGATGTTAAGGTCTGCCCTTCCCCATCACAGGATCTGGTGAGACCCTCTCTGCGTGGCAAATGAAACCCCAAAGTGTGTGCCCCCCCACTCACCCCCTGCCACTGGGCACTGAACATGTGGAGACCTGGGGTTTAATGGACAGCCCTCAGGGTAAAGTGCGAGTAGTAAAGTTGGCCTTTGTGAAATGTATTCATGTTGTTAGGATAGGTGACATGCTGCCCTTTGTGAGGTCAGGTGGCAGATGTGTCCTGCAATTAGGCAGTCTTCTTGTTTCTAAATCCTTCCAGTTCTTGTCAATTGGGACTTGGAAGAGCTGCAGGAAGAACTGCTGCTAAAGTGGGATTGTCACCATTGGCCCAGCCTGTGGCCCCAGGAATCCAGAGCTGGGGTGGCTAACCTGGAGGCCTCAAGGACATATGTGTCCCTCGAGGTCCTCCAGTGTGGCCATGGTTCACAGAATCAATCCCCTTCAGAAAAGGATTTGTTCCATAGAATTTGAACTCAGTCCAAAGGCCTCCCCCAAGGACCTAGGAGGCCACATGTGGCCTGGAGGCCGCAAGATACCCACCCCTGCTCTAGAGGTTCCTGGACTCAGCCCTGGAGGCAGCCTAGAATCCTAGGCATGCTCCTCCACAGAGAAACTGCTAGAATGACCTGGCCACCTGGAGGTCTGGGCAGAAAATTCTGGATTCAAACCCAAAGTAGGGAGTGTCCCTGGCAACTCAGGACCCGCCGACTGGCAAAGGTGAACTCACCAGAGTCAGTTGTGATCAGAGGCAGGAACTACTGAGGAGAGATCTCCTAAAAGAAACTCAGGAAGACAATCCCCGCGATAGTGACAGCCAACCCACTTCCCTGAAGAACCAAGGGTAATGGGGGCTGGCCTGTGCCGGTGAATGCCGAACCACCAGCTCTGGAGGAGGGCAAGGCACACGCAACCCACTTTTGCCATCATCTTCTTCAGTGGAGACACTCAATCAGGGCCTGAATGGTAGCTGACTTTGACAAGTAGTTTCCAGCTGGTTCCAGCACACCCCTGACCCTACCTGACCCTGTCATAAGATTCATGGCATAAAAGTCTGAAAAAGCTGGAAAAGAACAGGACAAAGCACATGGGGAAATTGATCTGAGGGACTGTGGAGTCCTTGGGAGCTGTGGATCTTTGATTCTGGCAGGCCCCAGGTAGTCCTCACTGACCTGGTGAAAACATAGATGTCCTGCAGGGAGACAGCTGTGGTCAGGCGGTACCAGGTGTTATGAAGGCACCAGCGGAGCAGGCCAAAGAGCCAACCTGCAAAAGTCCCAGCAGAGAGATTGAAAGGCTTCACCCTGCAAGCCCATCATGTCCCAGAGCTAGCCCCTTCCCAGCCTGCCAGCTCTGAAGCCGCTTCTTGCTATTCTGGTCTCGCATCCTCCCAGGGCTCTGTAGCTGTGCTTGGGGATCTTTCTCTCTTCAGCCCATCTCTACACGCTGTCCTAGAGTTACTCTAGCCGGGCCCAGCATGTCCCTACATAGGAATGAGGAATCTCTTCTAGGTGCACTGCAGGAACTACCCTGGGCACTGTGCCCACCCACTGGCAGAACCCACCTGAGAAGTGGATGGCCATCCAGAAGGAAGGGCCACCTGGGGAAGCCCTGTTCTTTAGGTTGGATGCAGAGCCAGGCTGGTCCAAAAGCGAGTGCCCTGCAAGGAAGGGAAGAAATGAGGATTCACCAGAAGGAGAGACAAGTGGACCTGGAGCATCCCCCTTACCAGGCTTGAGGGCTTGAGCACTCCCACCCTGCAAACCCTCATCGAGAGCCAGACTGCAAGCTCTCTTCCCCGCCCCCAGCTATGGGTCACCCTCGGAAGTCAGTGGGGCAGTGCCTGGGGGATGGGGCTCTAGGGAGGAGAAGTGATGCCTACCTGCACAGTCATCCTCAGACCTATATCCTGAGGAGGATCCAGGGGTGCTGCAGGTGATTGTGGCCAGGAGAGGGGATGGTGAGAGGCCTTTGACCCTACTTGACTTCCTCCTCCGAGTCCTGGGGAACAGCAGGTATGAAGAGCAAAGATAGGAGAGTGGAAGAAAGCAAGGGTGAAAAAGAAAGGGAGGGGAATGAGACTTGGCTGGAGACTTTGAGGTTGGAAAGAAATGATACCGAAAGGCCTCTCTTCCTGTTCTTATTCCTTAAACAGATGAATGATCTTTCACAGCAGAGGCAGGATTGAACCAAGCCACAGCTCCCATGGGCCAGGGAGCACCTCTTTCCAAATTAAACTACCATGATGAGGTATGAGAAAAGCGAAGAGCCACCTGAAGCTGTCTCATCCCCCACAGGCCCTTGACCCAAGTGGCTTCCTGCGCTGTTGCTGGGCCCTGAAACTCACTCTAATAACCACGTGCACTGGGGCTAGGAAAAAGAGTTCCGTGGCTGAGAGGGGTTGTTCCCTACCCAGCTTGAGGTGTCAGGGGACCTGGCCTTTTCCATGCTCAAAGTTGCCCCGCCCTATTTCCTGTTCTCAGACAGTGAAGGCAGCAGTAGGCCAGATTGGGGTAGAGGAGGGAGAGATGGTGCTGGGGACAGGGAATTCTCACCTTTGTGAGGAAAGAAAGCAATAGAGTGATGTCTCCACCAAAAATGGGGGCAGGAAAGCAATATGCACATGGCAACAGCTGAGGGCCTTGGCTGCCATGGGCAGTTGTGATGGTGAAGGTGGCTTAGCCTTGCTCTGGCTCCTCTTACCTGAGGGAACTGTCATTGCATTGAATGTGCTGGCCGACCACAGGGGAACTGCAGCCACTGCTGCTGGTGCTGCTGCCGCCGCCATCTCCATCAACGTGTAGGTGGTACCGGAGGCGCAGGCGCTCACTGCGCCGAGACATCTTCCAAGGGAATTCTAGAGATTCCCCAAAGAAGGAAAAAAGAATGAGAAGCAGTGCTTACTGCCTGAGTGACGATGCTATTTTCTGGCAGACCCTGAGAAGGGTGTTAAGGGGGTGCCCTTGAAGGACAGGGACCAAAAGCCCCAGACTAATTTCTCCAAAAGGTTAGCTGGGCTGGCACAGAGAGGCACTCTCCTAAAGTGTGTGTGAAGTGGCTCCAAAGCACATTGATGATGGCTGCCTAGCAGGGCCAGGCCCAGCAGTCTCATGCCTGATCTCAGCATTGGGTCATCCTGAGCAGGAAGTCGTCTTTCCAGAGGATCCTGCAGGAGGCTTCCCTGAGGAAGTGGAGGCTCCACTCTCTGCTGCCTCCATTCTGGATCTGCCCCTTAGCATATCTTTCTAGAATCTGGGCTTTGGACACTGTGCTTGTGATTATTCTCAGGTTGCTTCACAAGCAGGAATTTGTCTTCTCCCCACAGATGGTAAGCTTGAGGACTGCCTTGTCTTCCATATCTTTGGGTCCCCCCAGCAGCCAAAAGCCTGTTCTGAAGGGTGGCAGGTGTCATCTGCAAGAGCTCTGTCCTGGTCCCAGCTAGCCAGCTGATACTAACCCTGACCCTTCAGCAATGGGCTTCATGGGTTAACAGTGCTGGAAGGACAGGGTTTTGTGTTTTGTTTTGTTTTGGTCTTCATTTCCTCATCACCACTCTGAAGGATTATCCCACTCCTATTAGAGATGAGTAAATGGACAAGTGGTAAGCTCCCCAGGGATTCTCATAGCACCAGGAAGAGCCTCCAAGGCAGACCCTGAGCCTTCCTCTGTGCCTGCTCACTGAGCTCCAACCTCAATGCCTCCTGAGGGATTTCTGAACTGTCAAGGCCTATGCAACTCGATAATGGGGTGGTTTGTGGGAGAGGAAGATGAAGTCGGGGGGTAAGCAGGCTTTGTATGGGAGGACTGAATTCCATCATGGACACCTGTGTATCTGGGGATTTGGGGGGAGAGGTTAGGGGATGGAGCCGAGTCAGCTGTGCACAGCTGGCAGCTCTTGGGAGGGGCAGGTGTTGTTCCTTGGCTGAGAAGGTACACAGACAAGACGAGGTGCAGATATTGTGCCCTGGCACAGAGAAGGGCACCGAGCTGCAGACCCCGCACCTCTCTAACACCTGTTTTACCGGCCCCGCCATGCCAGTGTGGGCCCTACGGGGTACCTGCTGAGACCGCCCAGTCCGCGTCCGCGTCCCAGTCCGCGTCCTTTGCTTGGCTACCGAGGTAACGCCTGGCGAACGCTGGGCGCGTGCCAGAAGCACTGCAAGGACAAAGAGGGTGTGAGATGGCAGTAGGAACAGTCAGTGGCTGTATCTCTAATTCCTTCCTGCAATCCCTCTTGCATGCATATACATGCATACAGAGATAGGAACGCATTTTATTCGTTACTTCTCATCTTAGTCAAATTATCATTCCCATATCTGTTGCTTCCATTTTTTGGACTAGTTTCATTTAGTTGATTTTAGGTAAGAAGTAACCTGACAACTACCATTTTCCCATGGTACTAATGATGTTAACTTGGAAGGAAAATAAAGACATTACATTGTATATCTCCACTGATCCTGTCACTTTCTAGGCATTCTGGTCTACCATACCAGCCAGGAGAGGCTATTCAGCTTGATACAGAGAAATGAGGGAAAAGGAGGTGGGAATTCATTTTAATCTTGGTCTCTAAGTTTCTTTGCTTTTTGCAAACTTTGATACGTCATAAGCTGTTGAATATAACCAAATGGCAGCCAGATCTTTTTTGCATTGCCTTAACTGTTTCAACCAACACTTGGAAACTGTTAATTCTTCACATACATGGTTGGACTAGAGACCAGAAACCAGAAGTTTCTGTGCTGTCCCCCGAAACAGGTGATGACATCACCTGCGCAACAGTGATGCAAATTTCTGCCTTAGTGTTTGCTCTGCTATCAGTTCTTACCAAGGAAACCCAGATTCCTGAATTTGGGATCTTGGCAAGTAGAAGAAGAAAGATTTTTTTCAAGCATTCTGTTTTTAAAATAGATAATTTCAAGTTGTTTCTTTTTAGAATTGGCTAACAGAGATTTACTGAGCATAAATAGCATTGACTTTTTGTAGACTGGATATGTTTAAGAAAGATTTAGGAACAAATTCAGGGATACATTTAGGGGATTCACATCTCGGGAAATTGAATACCTAAAAAAACCAAAAACAAACCCCTCAAAATATCTCTCTTCTGAGCATCTAAATGTCCTTAATCACAACTTTAAAATTCTTTAAAAATATCTATGCAGTTCAAAGGAGATACCCTAGCCAGTGGAATGAATTCTGTCAACAACTCTCACCTGGCAAGGATATTCACATGAATGAGTGTTGTCTCAGTGAATCACTGATTCACTTACTGAATTCATGTCATTGGCTACATTGCTCAAACGGATCTTTAACAAAACAATTACCTATCTTACAATGGGAAAAACTGAGACACTGAGAGGGGCAGTCACCAATCAGATTACAAATAAGATGCAGAACTAGAAATGAAACTCGGGAGTCTTGACTTTGAGGGGCTATATACTTCCTTCTTCCAGTTAGGAAATGCTAGATTTGTCTTTTATGCAATCTTAGATTTACCAGTGTCATGCTTTTCTTCAGAGAACTTCAATGCAGTGGGAAGACAAAGTATAGACAATCGGAGAAACATCAAATTCACTTGTCAAAGACTGGCTCACTGGGGTAAAATAAAGGCAGTGCATACAAGTAGGTTCCTATGGGCTTTGTGGGAAGGAATATTAAAATTTATTAAACAAAGCCAGGAAACCAGAAATGGATGCTCTCAAAAGTTATCTGACTTACTAATATTGTATCAGAATATTAAATATCCTAACCTCTCAATGCCCCCTTTCTTTCTATATCCTATTGTTCTTTACAATTACAAAAATAATCACTATTTTAAAAATCTCAATTGTAAATGATACCCCTGTAATGATCTTTGCAGTTCATCTTCAAAAGGATTCTGATAAAGATTTGCTCGAGTATTCACCAGCACAAAATCACCTTATCTTTTGAATAAACTCTCTGTGAGATTCTGTATTGTTCTTACCCGAAATGGCTCGATTTCCTTGGCCACACTAGATTTGTATGTGCAGCAGTACTGTTATAGGATCACGAAAGGAAAAAAAGAAAACCATCAAAATTATGATCTCTGGGTTAATTAAACAAGCTACTTTTAGAACTAATATAGTTTTGATTTTGAGGGGAAACTGAGGATGCAACAGAATTGGATTCCACTAATGAGACTAACTTACTTGCAACTTTTGGTATGAACAAATTAGAAATGTTCATAAAAAGTACCTTGATTAAATGTTGTTGTTTTTAAATCACAGTGATTTGTGCCTGGGGTGCTTTGGGAAATTAAAAAAAAAACCACAAGCTTAGTTGCAGGACAAGTGGTAGTAATTAGTGATTGGTCAAAAAAGATTCCCATCTGCTTAGTAACAGCCTGGGGCTAGTGAAGTCCAGTGGATGGTGAGGTCCTCAGAGATTTCATGACTATTTCTCTGGCTGGGAGATAGATCTGGAGTCCCTCGTTTCCTTGCGTAGGAGGAGATTACTAGGAATCAGACACTGGGGTAAGGGGAAGAGAATATGAATGTTAGACATTCAGTATCCTTTTAGGAAGAACACAAAGGTGAGGGAGGAGGCCAAGGAAGAGGAACATGAGAGAGAGGAGAAAGAGATGGACAGCTTGGACAAGAGGATTTGAGCCAAGTAAAAGTCTGTCTTAAAGTGTCTGTTTGACAGTAAGAGTGAGAGAAACGTGTTTATGTAGGCAGTGGAGTGTGTGTGTTACACACCCATTTTCTGTTGAACACCTGCTCACAATGCAGATAAATTATTTACAGCAGCAGGCAAGCAAAAAATCAAGGGGTGGGGACTGGTGAGAGCTGGATGCTCTCAGCAAAGAACTAGGGAGAAGCTACAGCGAGGATGGATGTGCTCGTTGGTTGAGATTTCCCTGGGTCTCTGGGGAAGGACCATCCACTAGTTGTGAAGGAATCTTACTCTAGTTCTGTAGCCTTAATAGCTGAGTGAATAGCTTAATGGCTAGGGCTGGAGCCCCTTGATCCCATGTTTCTCTGGGATATTCTTGGGAAGAGAATGAAAAGCAGTGTAACATAGTGAAGAGAGTCTCGGACTCAGGAAGACCTGAGTTAAAATCACACCTCTGACACTGAAAGGCTGTGTAATCATGGGCAAGTTACTTAATTTCTCTCAGCCTCAGTTTCTGTCTAAGGCTGTCTAAGAAGCGAGATCAGAGTCAGCAGAAATGAAAGGGAATCAGCAACTGATGGCAGTTTTAAAATGGTGGCAATGGCACAGTGGATAGAGCCCTGGCCCTGGAGTCGGGAGGACCTGAGTTCAAATTTGGCCTCAGACACATAACACTCACTAGTTGTGTGACTCTGGGCAAATCACTTAACCCCAACTGCCTCACCAATAAATAAATAAATAAAAATAAATTTTAAAAAAATGGTGGCAATAATGCCTGTAGTTTCTACCTCAAGAGGTTGTTGTGCGACTCAAATGATATAATGTATGGGAAGTGCTTTGCAAATTGAGCTGCTGTTTCTTTCTTCTTTTTTTGCTTTTTGGTGAGGCAATTAAGGTTAAGTGACTTGCCCAGGGTCACACAGCTAGTGTCTAAAGCCATATCTGAACTCAGGTCCTCCTGACTCCAGGGCCAGAGCTTTATCCACTGCGCCACCTAGCTGCCCCCTGAGCTGCTGTTTCTTGCTGTCTTGTACACAGTAGAGGCTCCAAAACAGTTATTTCATGAATGCTGTGGGAGACTACGGGAAGAGCTGAGAGGATTTATTTTAGTTCATTGTGTCAAGGACCTTTCCTCAATAATTATAGTAATGTACATTGACATAGCCCTTTACAGGTAAAAATTGTTTTCACATATATTATCTCATGTGATTCTCATAAGAACTCTTTGAAGACAGCCTGTATAAGTACCCAGGACTTCTAACCCCAAGTTCAAGGGCTCTTTTTATACCACATAAAACAATTCCTCAAGATGGTGTAAGGGTCAGTGAGACTAAATACTTATCTTCAAAAACCTTTACGGAATCACCCAACCTATATCATGACTCATATCTATCTTGCTTCTCCAGTAGTTAGGCTGTCTAAGAAGTGAGATCAGGGTCAGCAGAAATGAAAGGGAATCAGCAGCTGACGGCAGTGTGGTGACTTCTCTGACCACAGGACACAGCTAGCTAGAGGTGGATTTTGATACTCATCCAATTACATAAACCACACTGGCAGAACAAGGGAGATTAACAATACCAAAGTCAATATGGTGCCAAGGGTTGGGGGATCATGTCCTGTAGTACGCTGCCCCCAGCACAAGAGACCATCAAAGGAGAGCTCTTGGTCTAAGATTTGATGTCTGTTTCCTCAGCCTAGTGGAGGAGCATATCCTGAGTTCCCACCAATACTTGAGGATCACAGCATTTAGGATTGGTTGGTGATTGGTCCAAACAAATACCAAACAATATGTCTGAATGGCCAGGAAAAGCCTGTGCTTCATAAAGAATATGACCAAACATGACTATGAAAGTACTATGACTTTTAATAAGACATACTGCATTCTGTTAACTGCATACATCATGTGCTCGTTTTACAATCTAGGTTTGCTCTTGTTAGTGATATAAATGTAAGTTTTAAGCCTGAGAGGGAAAGAAGTCAGAGTCCTCTTATTGTTGACTGTAAAACATGAACGTCCATGATAGATCTACATGCAACATAGGGGCTGGTGATCTGTAGGTATATCAATGACTGTAGCACTAAGATTTCAGTATATATACTACAGTCCCATATTTCCCGGTGTGGGTTCTGTTCTAGTCATTTGGTCTCCTGGCAATAACCTGGGGGGCTATTTTTAGGTTTGACTTGTCCCTAGTCCCAGAAAGAGATACAGCTGGTGCCACCCAGTCTCTGTACTTCACCTGTTTGCCCTGGGCTGCAACAACAGCTTACAGTCAGCATCTGGAGACCACAGTCACCAAAATTGTTCTCAGTGGTATATGGGTTCCTGGGGAGCAGATAATGTAGCCAACAGCTGAGGCTTCTTGCCCGCCATTCAAAAACACCAGGGATTAGGTAGCCATAATGCACTGAAAGTAATTAGAATGAAGTATGACAATGGTTTTTGGCCTTTGGGGAACTAGGTCTTTTCTCTCTGTTAAGAGAAAACTTATCTCTAGTATAAACTTTTGGCATCAGCACAGCACAAGTTGAAGAATCTATTGTTGTTTGGTTGTTTTTTAGTTGTGTCTGACTCTTTGTGACCCCATTTTGGGGTTTTCTTGGCAGAGATACTGGAGTGGTTTGCCATTTCCTTCTCCAGCTCAATTTACAGATGAGGAAACTGAGGCAAATAGGGTTGAGTGACTTGCCCAGGGTCACACAGCTAGGAAGTGTCTGAAGCAGATTTGAATTCATAAAGATGACTCTTCCTGATTCCAAGGCCAGTAATCTATCCACTGCACTACCCCGCTGCCCTCAAAGAACCTATTGGTGTGTTGCAATTAATAAGAACATTACTCAGAGGTGGAGGAAGAGGAAACCCAAGCCAGGAGTATTTGGTGGGCAAAATGTCATCAGTTCTGTGGTTTATTTTAAGAAATCAAATAGATTTGAAATGAAACAGTGATTCAAACAGTTAAGCGCTAAAACTGTCAACATAGTTTTTGCACAGAAAATGAGATTTTGCAGAGAAATGAATAAGAAACCTTGAATGCCTTTTAGGTAATGTTTCATCTCCATATTTCATACCTGTGGCTCTGGCAGTTAAGCACTTTGTACCTCCTCATACCAGGAAGATGTCATTTTAGGAATCACTCATCCACCTACAACTGATGTGGGTTTGTTTGTTTGTTTTAGATTCACCACCACTGCGCAAGGTATTTATTAAGTTCCTAACTGGGGATGGTTCTGTGTAGCAGGATAGTATACAAGCTAACACATACAAGTTCCTATTCTCTATAAGCTTTGGCCCCACGTAAGTCTACTAATGCCCTTCATCTCCATTGCTGTTATTCTACCTCCACAGTACCTCCTTTCTTTCCATTCACATATCTACCACTCTGCTTCAGATCCTAATACAACCTCTCACCTAGATAATTACAAAGGCCTCCTAAATTTTTCTCTCTGCCTCCATTCTTTCCCTAATCCTCCCTATATTATTACCTCCTACACCTTCCCCCAAAAGAAAACCTCTGGCACCTCAACTGCCTATGAAATAAAGCAAGAACACCTTAGGTTTTTAGTCATTTACTGAAGGTCCTCCAACTTCCCTTTCATGACTTCATACATTATTCTCCTTGGTATGCTCTAGAATCAAACTAGGCTACAGGCCATTTGCCAATCTCATCTTGTTCCTCTCCTCCCAATTCCATGCTTCTTCTCATCCAGCATACCATACTGGAAAGATGCCCCACCCTCCATTTCTGCTTTTTGAATGCCTTCTCTTCTTGTAAGGCCCAGATTAAGTGCTATCTTCTACAAGAATCTATCCCTGAACATCCCCTGGAAGTGATCTCTCTTTCCAAATACAACTTCAGACTTTTTCTTATTTTCTAATTTACATTGCGGTTTCGAATTTATGTCTTATTTCCTCTATCATGGCATATCTTAAACTCACTGAGGCCAGATACTATCTTAAACTTCATCTTTGTATTTTTAGCACCTAGGACAGAGCCTTGTACATAGAAGTTGCTTAATAAAGGTTTGCTGGACTGAACTGAATTCACTCTTCTTGGTTCTCCTCAATCTATTCCTCCAACCTCCATCCTCACTTTTGTTACCATTGTTGGACATTTATACTTACTGTCTTTCTTGAATACCACTTGAGAAGTTTCACTGTTGCCAGAACTTTGGTTAAGACACCACAGTACCTTTCCTACACATTTCACAAACTATTTCCAGGGCCAGCCTGCTGGTTTTACTGCTGTCTCCATGTTTAATAACCCCACCTATTTTGCCAGAGTTTCAACATATTTCCTCTCCTCCACGTCGCTTTCAATAAAAGATCTTTTAATCTACATTTAAAATTACGGCTCCTCCAACACTCTAGATATTTTTGCA